TTTTTTTTTTCGGTGTTAAAAACGGAGCTTTTAATGTTAAATATATTTTGGTAATTTTTATAGCAGGAAGATTTGGTTGCTCTTGGGCGCCTTCTTGCTGCATTGGCATGTAATTCTCCTCAAGCTGGACGTCGTGAAGTTCTTCCTGCTACTCTTCAAATTATTCAGCAGAATTATTCAAATGATATGAAGAATTTGATCGCGTTTGTCTTTAATTACTTTCAAATATTTTTTTGGGCGCTTTCTGCCGCATTTGAATGTTTACGTTGTATTACAGGCTCTTGCTGAATCCCGGAAATCGTCGAAATATCAATGATATTATGCCAATGATTGGCGCTCGATTCTACAACCAAGTTGAGAATATGCAAGTTAAAGCAGATCTTCTTGAAAATGAGTTGTCAAAGGAATTGGAAAATGGGAGACTTTTCCGACTGCTATGCAAATTGTGTTGTATTATTGACCGCCCAGAGTAAGTTGAAAATTTTTAAAGTTATGTTGAAGGCAGCTGATTTGGACTAGATTTTTTGAAACAAATAAGTTTAGATTTGTTCTTTGTCTTTTTGTATTTGCTTTTATATGCTGATATGTATAGCATCCAAATGGGCATGGCCTGGAGCGAAACGGGTGATAGGTTCCTTTTGAAGCTGTTTCGCGAGTACCTCTTTCATCAAGTGACAGAAAGCGGGAAGCCATGGATTGATATGGCACATATTATAACATGTCTGAATAAGGTTTTTTTACATTGTTTAAATATTGATTGTCGGGACAGAAGCAGCGTAATTTTTTTCATCAGTTTATTCGTTTTCAAGTGATATCGACCTGTTACTGTCTGACCCATCATTTTTATGAACTTCATAATCTACCTCTTGCCTGACTTTATATCGTAAAAACTTGGGAGTTTTTAGAAAACTTTGCTATAATATCAATCTTATGGAAATTTTAGCTGGATGCGGGTTACCCAGAAAAAATTCAATTGGTCTCATCAGATGGTGACAATGTTCTTATTGTTTCTTATGGTGAATTGAAACAATGTGTCGAGAACTCGTTTCGTGAACTTACTACAGCTACAGCAGCGCCTGCTTTGGCACCTATAATTCCTCTAGTTGGACCAAGATAGCCTTCTTAGTACTTCTTAGCAGCTATAATTTTCATTCTTTCTAATAAGTGATTTTTTCCTACCTCAGTTCTCGGAGTACCCTGCTAATTTTGTTACAGTCGCTGCATTTTAGTTTTTCATGAGAAACGGCGAGTTCTTTAAGTAATTTTGCAAGTAATGGAGTATTTTTTCAACTTAGTTTTCACGTAATTTTTTCTGTAGATCACCATTGGAGCAAGTCAAAGTTTTTGTTTAGATTACCATCGTACGTTTGGCTTCTTGAATACTGGTTGAAGTAAGGCTGATTTGTTTAGCTAGTCGGTATTTGTAAGTTTCTGCGCGTCGTGATAGTTCAGGAGATCTTTGGAAATTAGTTACTTTTTGAAATTTTTCTGGAGCCGTGCTCTTATCCTCTCATTTTTTTACCTGAATCTTATTTTTATCACAGAATTTTTTGCATACTGATTTTGTTCTGTTTCTAGATTTATTGAACATATTGTTTACTCACTTCACTGTTAAAGAAATTTGGCTTACGCCAATTTTGTGATACTTTAAGTTTCTGATGTACTGTCATGCATATTACCGGTTCGTTCGGAGCTCGTTTTGAAAATTTTTGCTGTGTAATATTTTTTAGATCCAGTCGTGTAATTTGTTGTATCTCTGCCTTCGGTGACTTTTCCAGTTTTCTTCACTTTAACTGCTGTTTATATCGTGCTTTTAGTGATCCTCGAGTAGTTATCTAAAGTTTATTTCTAACATAATTGTTCTCAAAAAATGTATTGGGGTGCCTTTTTCGATTATTTCTTATG